GAGGAAGGAAGAAAGGAGACAGCTGGACCTGAGCATCCTCCAACTCTGTAGGAGGCACACCATTAGATGGTGGTCCCAGCAGAGAATCATGTTAACCAAGGACACTTTCTGAGCAAAGATGAGGTTTTGGTTTCAGCTGTGAGGAGAAAGCTGCCTCTTAACTGCAGTCCTCAGGAGGAAAGGAGAATGCAGTTCCCCTCTGCAGGCATATTTCAGATCCCTGCAGCTGTAGGAGCTGTGCAGAAAGCTCTTTCAGCCTCATAGGAGGAGAAGGGTTAAGTACCCTGCTGTTTGTATCTCATTCTCCTAATTTACAGGTGTTTTGTAGCTATAAACAACCTCAGATCAATAACAGCATCATGAAAACTCAAAAGACGCCTTTAATCACTTTGTCCCTGGGCTAGCAGAGAACTCGACTCTGCTGTCAGTAAGGGCTGTTTCACCTGGCAGACAATCTCCCCTCCTCTTCCCCTAAACCAGAGTTGCTCTAAATTCTACCCAAAGTCCCCTTCTCCAGAGCCACTGCAGCTGTCAGTCCTGGATTGGATGTACAACACAAGGAACTGGAGGTCACAGTGTGAAGATGAAAGGTTCATTAATTGTTTCTGAGCACACCAGACCTAGAGCAGCTTTGACTTTTCATCAATAAACGAAGTGCAAGCCCAGACATGTCAGCTGTCATTATTCACCATGCCACGCAACTAGTATTGACTTTCTATCATGTGAGAAGCACAGTATTAATAAATACTGAGAAATAAAAATGATCCACCAGGCACTGGGGTTCTCCCACTCAGCCTGACTCCACTCAGGATGGTAAGATGCATGCAGAAACTTTCTATCGCTCTTCAAATGCATACAAGCCCCTTGACTCTGACTCATTTACTTATTACCTCACTGAATATCGTGCCATGCCCTGGCATGGTCATTACCACAAACTTGGTGACTTAAGACAACAGAAATCTATTGTTTCATAGTCTGGAGGCCAGAATTCCAAAATCAGCAACATTAGATCACAATCCTGATGTCAGCAGAGCTGTGCTCCTCGTGAAGGCTCTAAGGGAAAATCTATTTGTCTCTTCCAGCTGCCAGAGGCTCCAGCATTCCTTGGCTTGTAGCCCCATCACTCCAATCTCCACCTTCTCCTCTTCTGTCTATAAATCTCCCTCTGCCCTGCTCTTATAAGGACACTTGTGTTTGCTTTTAGGGACCACTCAGATAATCCAAGATAATCTCCCAATCTCAAGATTCTTAACTTCATCACATCTTCAAAGACTTTTCTGTAAGGTAACATTTATAAATCTCAGAGATTAGGATTTGATATCTTTGGAGGCTGCTTTTCAGATTGCCACACTATTGCTTCCAGTGTTTTTGCCCGAAACATCTTCCCTTTTTCTTTCCTTGCCCAAAATTATATCCATCCTTCAAGGTCAAGTGTGGATGCTAAAGTGACTCCATCTTGGATGCTAATCTGCCCTGTTGACTTCTGATAAACTCTAATTCTGGGAATGCCTTTTCTATTTTATCTACTGTTCCTTGTGTAAGACCGTGTACTTACCATACATCCTGCCCTTAGGCAGACTCCTGCCTCTCCCTACAATTGTCCTACACATTCCTTCCCTATGGTATGTAAGTCCTGGGTCTGGTAGGTGATAGGCCAGGGAGATCCACCATCTTGTCTCACCAACCCGCAAGACACAGGCATAGGGTAAGTCCCTATTAAATGTTTCTTTCTGAGAAGCTAGACATGCCAGCCTCTTTCTTCAGCCTCTCAGCTTCCTCGGACTTTGGGAGTAAGTTTTCATGGACTTGCCCACTGCAAAACACCAAAGCAGGGGTCATGGATTCCACAAAACTGTCTTTGCTCACCATAGCCAAGTTATCTCCCTTCCTGCTGACTGTTCACAGTAGGTCATTCATTCCTTTCTTGTGACATCCGGCATACTCCATCTAGAAATACTACGATTGGCTTCTTTTCTGAGCGGTAAGCACCTCCTACCCTTCTTTCATCTTAATGCGTTCCCTGCCCACACTGTAGGAGGCGCTAGACAGATAGCTATTCAACGGATGATGAGTCTGAATGGATAAGAATCATATATTAGTAGTAAATTCATTATCAATACTAGTGCAGCATGCTGAATTCTTTCTGTGATGAACTGTGGGCTCCAGCAGAGAGGAGACCAGCCTGTGCACCAGGACCCTAGGCTTCCAGCCAGGCGTATTAGCTAATTAGGTCTGTGGCCAAACCCTGGAGGCCTCAGTTTGTTCATGCGTAAAAGGAGCTGTGCTGGCTGCAAGGATCCCCCAGGTCCTCCAGCCCTTCTTTCTATGAATCTGTGGACATCGTTAAAGTGGTTAAGAGAAGAACAGGAAGCCTGTGTTCTCTTACATACCCTATTAATCTGCTATTCAACACCTCCTCCCCTTTCTTTCCATCAATGGTATAGAAACAAATTTTAGTCCAACCCAAATTCTGAATCAAGGCATTTGTCTGCATTTTTAGCTTTTCCCATCAATGAAATATGCTCAAGGTGACCTAGAACAGCCATATGTTTTCCTACCAAGTCCCGACACGTCTGGAAGGAGCTTGGAGCCACTGCTCAGTTTGAGGTCATGGCGCACTGTGCTCAAGGACACTGGAGTGGAGGACATAGCCTCATGTGGCCTGAGCTCGGATCCCAATTGCCAAGGATGGGAAGATGCAGAGACCAGGCCTCCCAAAGTAAGAGTCAGCCCATGAGGCAGCCAGCACCAGCGCTGCCCTTCAAGCTGGTGCAGGCTTCCCCCTCAGCCCCAATTTCCCCATCAGAAAAATTGGGCTAAGTCTGATCTCCTTCCAGCCTCTATAGCAGGGTTTTACATGGGAGCCAGGACATACGAGACAACAGTAGGAAATGTCAGAGGATGACAAGGTCTGCGGCTACAGTCACTGGATAGCCAGTTGTAAGTTAGCCTTGCTCTTAGTTCTCTGGACCGCTCCTTCCCAAGGCATCTCCCCTTCCCTTTCCTTCTGACTCAATCCTGAACTCGCTGGGCTGCTGATATGGCTGGACAGGGTGGGTTCCTTTCATTGGCAGGCCTTGCTCCTGCGGTCTCCCTGTATGCCCTAGACCTTACGGGTGAACATCAACCTACATCCTTACACTGGACGACACCCCACCGGGCCCTAGCTGGTGGTGTTTGAGAACATGGCCTGGAAATGAGGACCTGGACAGCTGAGCCTTTGGACTTCCGGGTTGCCCCACCTTTGGGGCTACTGGATTTAGCAAGTCACACTATAGATGGAGGTCACTCCAGAACTTCCCTCCGCTAAAGGGACCTGCTCCTTTGAAGCCTTGAATGCCTATGGCTTACTCTGTAGTCTGGAGCAAGGCTGGCCTCTTCCAACCAAGCCCAGGACAGGGCAGGCCACACATCAGCTCACGCTTCTATTTTGTGTGGCATGCAGGTAAGTAAGACAAATCTGTCCTTCTTTATTCTCTATTTGCATAGGGAGCTCCTGGCTCCCAGGTAGAGAATTCGTGTGTGTCTCTGTGTGCGTGTGTGTGTCTGTCTGTCTGTCTGTCTGCAGAAGCAGACAAACCTCACTAACTTCTTTTTTTTTTTTTTCAAAATAGCAGAAAGAGGAAAAAAAAAATACAAAACTAGAAATCCATAATAGGCACCTCTGGAGATTTAATGTTTCTAGGGTAAGGAAAGCCCAGGCGAACCAGAGGCTTATTAGAAGGAAATGGGTCTTGCAGTCTGGGAGAGACGTGTGATGTGTGCCTCATTTTATTTTTAATAGCAGAACAGGGTGTGAAAAATATGCCCATAAAACCCGCGGACACATTGGAACAGGCAGGATCCCTCTGGCTCTAGGAGGACGGCTCCCAGCGTTGAGTGGGCTTTGGCCACTTTCCCATCCTTGGGAACTGGGGACCACAGATCAAGTTTTCAAGAACAGCCAGTAATGTTGTGTGCTTTTCACTGAAACGTACTCCTTTTCTTTGGGCCAAAGTCTCTGGTGCTTCAGGGCTCCGTGAGCATGCTGTATCTTTGGTCTTTAATTAAATTTTACTCCTCCATCTCATGCAACACGTGCACGTTAGACAGTAGTATGCCAATTTTAGCCACCTCCAAGACGTCTTTGTGGGCCACAGAAGTGCTGTCTGCAATGGTGATAGGAACCCGTCCAACTGTCATTGTGTGCTGTATGAAAGGACATGTGGCAAGACGCATCATCTGAAAGAAGGACTCCAGTCTCCACACGCATATGGAGTCGCCCAGAATCAAAGTCGGCGTTCCCACAGGGATCTGAGCCCCTCC